GAATGAGAGGTGTTCCTAGTGTGTTTGCATCAACAGTTACGAACAGTAGGGTTGGGGCTAACTGAAAGAATAGATTTTGCCAAAGATAGGAAAAAAGTAGAATTGCAATTGGAAGTGGCAGTGAGCTTCCTGGCTTCCGGAAAGGGGAACCTGTTGGTGGGAGGTTGAGGAAGAGCAGGAGAGTAAGGACTTCCAGCTGATGCTCTCCTACTGCTGTATTTTTTCCTCGTATCAGGGCTCATCACTGATGTACTGCAATCCCTTTGGCTTTGCAGTGATCTGTTGTTTCACATGAATAGATTCTTCATCGGGGCATATTTGTTCTATTCACGACTGCCTCGATGAGGAAGCACCATGGTACCAGCCAATCCTCACGGATGGGGCCTGGCTAGTCATGCATCCATTATACCCCATGGAGCACTTATGCTGTGGGACTGTTGTGTTGAATGGCCCCCCTTCCCCTTCTTCTGGTTCTGGCTGAGCTCTGGATGCGAGAAGCTCCTACTGAGATGGATGGAAATGTGGGGTTCCCATCCGGAAAGGAACTAGAATAAGAGCATGCACTGGGAAGATAACAATTGTCCTGCTGAAGAAGTTGCCTTGTCAGGTGAAACTTACAAGTGAACACTGCAACATTTACAGCCTCCTGCTGGCAAGGGAATCTATTCAATGGAAAATTCTTCTAGGTGATTCCCTAACAGATTTTTATGTTACTATGTTTTCTGAATCCTAAAGCTGAATCCGTATGTCTGGTGCTTCTCCTAAGCAACTCGTGGAGTCGGAAAATGTTGGGATAAGTAGAGCAGACGGGGGGAAGGGGAAGGCAGGGCCTGCAGACCTTCTTGGCTAGCAGCAGTGTGTCCTTCTTGCCGGCCTGCGTTTTATTGCACAGCCTGTCGGTGAGACGGGACACCTGCTCGTAGATGAAGTCCTTCTCCAGTAACTGCTCCTCCTTTTTGGCCAGCTGGACTTGCAACTGTGGGAAGGAAGGTGGAAGGACACTGCAGGTGAAATAACCTTGAGGTGGGAGGATGTGTTCGGAGCTGCGTTGAGACTTTCTCTGCACCCAACTCCCACTTGAAATTGCTTTGGCGAGGGGTGGGGAGTAGACCGAGAGAAAGGGAAGGACAGAGCCCACTCCAGTGGGAGAGTAGGACCCTGCTCAATGTTAGCTCGGGCTGAGGTCCCAGTCTCCTGCTCTGTCCCCAGTTAAGGAGACACATTTCATCTGTGCAAGATACCAGGATCACTCCTTTGGGTGGGGAGATGAAGGCTGAGCTTTAGAAATCCTGAAAGCACTGGCATTTGACTTCTGGGGCTAAGTGGCTAAATCAAGCTGAGGACTCCATTGTGGGCTCACCGGGACAGGGCCCATCCATGCTGCCAGAGTGAGCAAAGGGGCAGCTCATTGATATGTTGGCACCTGCAGGCACCAGCCAGGGGCACGACGAGGCCAGGCTTAGCCAGGATGCTCACCTCATCTAACTTCTCTGTGATTTCTTCTTCGCTCATGTCCTTCCCTGAAAGGAAGCGAGTTCTGTTCTCACCCTCGGGATTCACAAACTGCTTCTCCAGGTCTTTAATTCTGTCTGTGCACTGTGAGAACTAGGGAACGAGAGAAGTGTTAATAGAAGATTCTACACCGCACTGCAGCCTCCAGGTCTGCGGGCAGGAGGTCCGTCTGGGGCCATCAGGGAGAGAGTCTAGGTCCCATTGTGTGGGCTGCAAGGATCCTTTAAAAATCCCTGGAGAAATGGAATTAACGGCCAAGTTTCTTTAGGTGCCAACTTCTTTATGTTACAAATAATCCATGCATGGTTTATCATAACATGATTTTTTTTCATAAAGTGTTTGAAGACCCCATGTGTTTGTAGGATGCTATGTAGCTGCAAGGTTCAACCCACACAGCCAGCTGGGTGTCTGGCTTGGTGGTTAAAATGCCTGTGTCCCATCTGGGAAGGCCTGTATTTGAATCCCAGTTCGTGACTCATGCCAGTGGGTTCCTCCCACTCACGTGGGAACAAATGTGGCCTGTTTGCAGCTTGGAATCTCCTATCGCTCTCCTCATGAGCACGCTGAACAGTCTAATAATGAAGTACAGGTTCAAGACTCATGGGGATTTTCCATTCATCTGTTCCAGAAAGTTCCAGCTATCTCTGGTAGACTAGGTGAGTGATAACAGGTAGTCTGCGTGAGCGGTTGACCTGAGAAGGGCTTACCTTCAGGCAGGGCATATAATGTCACCAACTACATTTTAGGTCCCTCCTATGTAAATTCATATCTCACAAGGGACCACTGGTGTCACTTAATGGAAGCCGGATATGAGGCATTAATGCTGTCCATTTGAAGTGGTGATTGGGGCTTAAGACAAGGACTGTGTTTACATGAAAGAAGTGGATAAAGTCTCAAATCTGGATTTTGGGGGCATTTATTCTACTTTTTATTTTATTTATTTTCATTGTTTAAAAAGATTTATTTTCATTGCAAAGGTAGATTTACAAAGAAAGGAGAAACAAATGTCTTCCATCTGCTGGTTCACTCCCCAAATGGCCACAGTGTCTGGAGCTGAGCTGATCCGAAGCCAGGAACCAGAAATTTCTTCCAGGTCTCTCCTGTGCGGGCAGGATCCCAAAGCTTTGGGCCGTCCTCGGCTGCTTTCCCAGGCCACAGGCAGGGAGCTGGATGGGAAGCGGGGCTGCCGAGGTTAGAACCAGTGCCTATATGGGATGCCGGCACTTGCAAGTGGAGGATTAGCCAATTGAGTCATTGTGCAAGGCCCTATATCACTTTTTAAAAAGCCAGGTTACTAGGTTCTGGGAACTACAGAGGCTACAAAGAAGTCAAAGATGACTTCAGTTAGATTCTATGATTATTCTGGGGGTAGTGAAAGTCGACAGGCTGAGCTGAGAGAAGTCGAAATTCCAAGAGAGGCAGGAAACGCTTTAACAGAGAAAAAGACATTTGGAGCAGCGTCCAAAGACATTTTTAAGCAAGGCTTAAATCTGGCGGCTCCTCCAGTTACCAGGAGGAGCGTGGCTTGGATTATGGCAAGAAGCCCAGTAATCTACAAACCAAGAGGGTGGGGTCGGGAGCCCTTGGCCAGCGGAGGAGTGCCGGCCCCTCTCTCTTTCTCCCACCTGAATCTGCAGCACGGCCAGGTCGGCGTCCAGGGACTTCTTGACCGGCAGCAATCTCTTGGTCACGCGGATGTGTCTCTGCTCCTCCGCGATCTTCAGTTTCAGAAAGCGGATCTTTTCTTCCAGGATGTGGATTTCGATTTCCACGTTGAGTCGCATCTTCTCTTGGATGTTGATTTTCTCATAAAAGATGCACACTTCTTCCTCTCGTTCGATCAGCTGCACGCCGCTGTGGTTAGACGGAGAGACAGAGGAGTACTCAGTGTGTGTGTGGGGGGGGCGGGATGAAGGGGACACAGCTCAACCTGCAGTGCGATTTCCTCGGCCGGTGGCGTCTGCACGCTGGGGCGGACCAGCAAGTGCGCATGTGTGCATCTGGCAGTTCTGGTACTTCTCCTGGGCTGGGAAAGAATGTTATTCCCAAGGCCTAAACAAAGGGACCCCAGAGTCGAATTTCTTGCAGACACTTTTTAACTTGCCAACCAGGGCCTGGCCGGAAGCGCACAAGGCAAGAGGCTAGGCCAAGTGTATCTGGAGCTATTTTTGCTGTCTCTAAGTTGCTGACTTTTATTTTAATCAAGATGAAGCTTTTTGAATAATTTCTCCATAATCAGGCAAAAATCTGTGATTATGCCAGGGTGGGGGGAACCCTCCATGCAAAGAGGGGTGGAAATGAAGTCAGATTTTTCTAACTCCAGGGCTCTGCCTTTGCAGGACTAGTTGCTGGGAGCACAGGCCTTGCCCGTGTGGCTTGGGCCATGCCAGGAGCTGGGGGAACCTCCTGCCAGAGTGTGCAGGGCTTCAGAGGACCTCTCAGGTCTTGCCTCTGCTGGCCCATGCTCCCTCCAGTTGCTGTCTTTCTCTCCCCTCAAAGCCAAGGTGCAGGGAGTCAGCCAGAGCTCATCTTTAGCTCTCTTTGGTCTTATCTCTTTTCCTAAAGTTCTGACAAAAGCCACACTTTAAGCAGCTTTTCCTACTCTTGGTCTAGGCGGGCTTCATACAACCAGAGTAGGATGGGAAAAAAAACCAAACCGAAACAATCAACTGCGATGACCTTACTCCTTGGGTCTAGAAGCTCACCTGCCCCAAGCTCTAGGAGCACCCACAGCACTGGGCGGTGTGGGGCAGGAAAGAATTCTCTCAAACAGGAATTTCATAAATATTGTCATTGCAGGCTGGAAGAAATATCGCACTGATGTTTCAAAGCTCGTATGTATTCACCCAGAAAATGAACAGGGAGGGTGGCCTGTGAGAATTCATTAAGCCCAAACCAGCCGTTGGAAAAATGGATGTCAGGTCCAAAGACTGACTTGTGACAATTATGCTGTATGAGTCTGATCCTATTGGCAGCAGCCTGAATGGCAGCCCAGACGAGGATTTAGATCTCAAATCAGCCACTCCCCCATACTCGCTTTGCCTCTTCCCCCCTCTATGTATGTGCACACACACACACACACACACACACACACACATCCGCCTCCTATAGAAGCTGGATGAGAAGTGGTGCAACTAGGACTAGAACTGATGTGCGTAGGATACCAGCTTCACCCTCTGTGCTACAATGCTGTCTCTTGCCTTCTGTCTTCTCAAGAATGATATGTCCTATTTTCAGGCTGATCACAAAACCCTCTCCCCTCCAGGTTCCTAAGAGAACCCGGAATTCAGTGCCCTCACTTCTGCCAAGCGCAGGCACCTGCAGGAGCTGGCATTTGTCCCCCGGCTCCTCGGTCCTCCACGCCCCTCCCGGGCCCCCGCAGGTTACCTCTCGTTGCGCAGTTGAACGGCTCTTTCGTATTTCTTGCGCAGTTGGACCATCTCCTCCTCGATCGTCGTGATCATGTTGGCGAGTCTGTCGATGTTGCTCAGCTGAGCCTCCTTCTTCTCCTTCATCTCCTGGAGCTTCGAGGCGATCTTGCTCACGTCATTCTGCATGCTGTCCCGGACGGTAATGTTGTTGGAGTGTTTCAGTATAGAATTCTGCAGTTTTCTTGTAATAGGAGGGGAAGAAACGGGGTAAGAGGACTGCTGTCTTTTTTTCATTTCTTTCAAAACAAGACAGAAGTCTCCTCCTCTGATACTCTGGAAAGTTTCCACATGTTCCCAGGCCTCAGCTCCTCCCCCATCCAAATTAGGACATCTTTCCCTCATCTTCCAAGGTTCTGCCTTCCCCCTTCGTCAAAGCAAGTGACCAGGACCAGTGCCATGGAATAGTAGGCTAATCCTCTCCTTGCAGTGCTGCCATCCATATGGGCATGGTTCTAGTCCCAGCTGCTCCACTGCCGATCCAGTTCTTTGCTTGTGGTCTGGGAAGGCAGTGGAAGATGACCCAACCCTGTGGGCCCTTACATCTGTGTGAGAGACCCAAAAGAAATTCCTTGCTCCTGGCTTCAGACTGGCCCAGCTCTGGCTGTTGTGACCATTTGGGGAGTGAGCCTGCAGATGGAAGATCTCTCTGGCTCTTCCTCTTTCTACCACCGATTTTCAAGTAAAATGGACGGGTCTTTCTATTTAAAAGGCAGGAGAGTGCAGTCATTCGGTTATCTCTCTTTCAGGAGGTTGTACTGTCTTCGGGACAGAAATGGCCCATGTGATGCTGCCCCTTGGCTTTCAGCCAGTGCTCGGTTAGCAGAGGGTCATCGTGAGCACTGGACGAGAGTATCAGTGGCCTGTTTCAATGGTGTTGGTTGAGAATCTGAACAAGACGTTACATTTTTCATACCCTTCTTCCCTGGGTGAGGCCATTTTGCAGTATCTTTATGAAGGGAACCCGGGTAAGAAGGGCCAACAGCGGAAGTGTAGGCCATACAGATTCTATCGACCTGGGAGCTACATGAATAAAAGGTGCCAATCTTGGCACCCGGTGAAGAATACATTTGATACAACCATATGCCAGATACCCTTCTAATGGTTTCTACATGAATTTCCCAAATTAATAATTAAAAAAGTCATGTGTCATAGTAATAAAAAGTCCTGTGGACTATTCTTCCAGATAAAGATGAGAGAGAGAAGGTAGCTTGTTCAAGGTCACACAGCTAGCAGGTGGCAGGGCTAGGATCTCATGACCGCTGTGTCCACTGCTGCCTGTAGTCCCATGAGACGCTGCCAGTCTACAGCCAGGAGGTGGTGGCTAATAAGAGATTTGGTTGTGCAAATGATTGGATGTGTGCATTTCCCCCACAAAATTGGACTAATGAAAATCCTATGTATTATATATTTTCATGTAGTGGAAAAAATAGATGGTTATACCCAGATAAGCCACTATGTCCAGATGTTGAAAAGAACCTTGTCTATCAGGCAGGGTATCTGAACACAAGTATCCCTGTGCTCACACAGTTGCCTCTTGGTTTGCTTTCCACAGGATCTATCAGCTGCGATAACACGTACCTCTCCTGGGTAACTGCACTGTTTCTTAGGATTTCCAGCTCATTTAAGGACATCTTGTGTCGCTGTCGGATCTCATTGACCTTCTGGTGAGCCTTGTGAAGCAAGTTTACAAACTTGTTTCTTTCATTTCGGACCGTGTCATACAGCTTAGCGAAATGTTTGAGCCTGTCAAAATACAAAGAGTCCTCCTTTTATGGCTTAGGACATTGAATTGTCCTCTACAGCCCCCATCGAGCACTCCTGTCATTCCTTTACCTTCGGTGGATTTCAAGTTTCTTCTTCTTGTGGATCCTAATTTCAAGGTCTTTCGCTCGGATCTCCTTAATGATGTTGTTATATTTTTGCTGAAATGTTAAACAAAAAAATGTGTAAAGTAACATGTGAATATTCCCAGCCTCACCCCATGCCATTGCCATTCTGGGAGGAGCATTCTATCCTGGCCTGCTCGGTGAGTAGATGGGAGATCACAAGATTGCTCAGCCTCTTAAGTCCATCCACGAATGGCTCACTCAGAGGGTGGCTTAGGGGAGAGAAAGGAGATGGGAAAAGAATGAGAAGCTTCCCAGGCTTGGGTCTGGGGCAAAGTTTGGGGAACTTGTGGAAGGACTGGGGTAAGGAGGAGCTTATGGGAGACAGAGAAGGGAGCGGGGACCACAGCAAGTTCTGATTAATGTGACGAAGTGAACAGTGGTGTAGTGTGTGAGACAGACACAAGTGATGCTGTTCAAGTGTTTTTCCAAATTCCTCTGCATATTGGGTGTGTCTTCCCATATTATAAAGCCCCCAAGCGGAGCCAACAAGTTGCATATGAAAATTTCTTTAAGATAGCCACGATATTTTTCAAGTCCTACAAAACATGCCAAGTGCTGGGTACTCTCTTTTTTTTTCACGTTGAAAAAGAGTGATCATTCAGCTGGGATAAGAAACATTCAGAGATGAAGTGTTGGTGGGAAGTGAGCAGAGGGAACTGCTCCAGCCCCCACGAGGAATATGAAAGCAAAGCCCATTTGGCATAAGTGCCAGGAAACTCAGCATCAGGGACAAGACGCATGTGCAGCCATTCCAGCTGTACCAATCAAATACTTGGGTTACTCTGTGCATAAACAGTAAAGCTGATACTAAACTGCTCCCTGTCACCAGGGGATCAGGATTCTTCTTTTTGTCTGTCTGTTTTTAAGGTACAGAGATGAAAGGCCAGGGTTTAGGTTGACCGCCTTCCTGAGGAAATGACCACTCAATGACTAGCGGACTAATTTCCAACGCTAACATGACTCAGGAAGCAAACAATAGTTAGCCTTGATAAATTTCTGTCGATTTCTGTATCTCAAAGGCAAGGCTGTCCTGTGGTTTCATATGAGCTGGCTTATTGAACAAGGAAGTTTGGTTCTGCGACTGTTCAGCCACACATGGATCACATAGGCACCAGCATGGGAGCTTAACTAAAAATTACTAATAAACTAGATTTTTTTTTCCTAGGCATCACAAATAAGGAAACTTCCCAGCATTTCTAAAAAGAAAAAGGAAGTGTCTAATGAGGGGAAACTCCACAAGTGGAATCTTTCCAGCCCACACCAGGTTGTTTTGAAAGCTGGACTCCGGGTGGCACCTCCCAGACTCCGGCTGTGGCGGGGATGCCAGCCTGCCAGGTAAGTCGCGGTGACTCAGAGCTGGTATCTGCGACATGCGCCGCTACCGGCCCTGTGCACCACACAGACGTACGGTGCTCCTGCTGAGAGCAGCAAGCGATTCAATCATCCGCTCCTTCTCATCGCTCTGTCTCCGTTTCTCTCTCTCTCTGGGTTGTTGACCCTTGCCAGCTGAACCCTGGCACACATGAAGCCATGGTAACTCTCTAACGGATACCGCACTAGGAGGCGGCCACCCCGAACGCCTGTAGAAATGGAGGGACGAAAGACAGTGCCGTCACCTGGGCTTTCAGGAAATCCTTCGACTTCTGCTCTCTCTCATCAAGTTTGATCTGAGTCATGTGCACGAGGTTGAACACGAGATCCCGCATGCTTTCTTGCTCCTTCAGCAGCTTGTTCTCCTCTGTCAGTTGATGTTCGACCAACTTGGTCTCAGCATCTGACAGGACTTTCTTTAGGGAGAAAAAAAAGAACATAATCATTACGATGTATTGGAAGGATCGGGAGATGCACTTGATATTTCCCATGTGGAATTTTTTTGTTAAACCGTAAAACAAAGAAACTGTAGCACTAACTACAATTTTATTTTATAGAAGACAGTGAAAGTCAGTGGGTAAACATGATAGCACTTGTACTAGTTGACCATGTTTCTGAGTGACTTTAACAAGAAACATAAAAGAACGATTTAAAATACTTGAATGGCAGTGAGGAAAAAAACTGAATTTTATTAGACATTGAGGTAATCAAGCATTGTTGATTACTTCTAATGTAACCAATATCCCATCCCTTTATTTTAAAATCTCATCGGTCTGTATAAATTTTTATAACGACTTATTTGTGATAAAGGCAGACATTCCCATCTGCTGGTTTGCTCCCGAGTTGGCTGTACCAGACAGGGCTGAGCCAGGCTACAGCCAGGAGCCAGGAATTCCACCCAGGTCTCCCATGGAAGTACTTGAGCCATCCTCTGCTACCTCCTCTGTGTGTATTAGAGGATCAAGTCCTGCCTCCTGCTTAGCTTCCTACTAATAAGGCACAAAGGTGTCCCAAGCAGCAACTTAACCCACTGTGCCACAACACCTGGCCCTGGCTTAGCTGTGAAGGCACTGTGTCCCAGATCCAGGTGCCTAGCTGCACTTCCTGGCTGCTGCTGTTGGGTCCAGCTTCCTGCCAATGCCCACCCCTGAGAGGCCACAGGTGATGGCTCAGGCAGCAGGGAGACCTGCTCCTGGGTACACACCAGGCCCAGTCCAACCCAGTGCGGGGTTTGTAGTATGAACCATTGGATGGAATACCCTTCTTTCTTTTTTTAAAGTACATTAGGTTTTTATTAACCATTCTTAGATGCTTAAATGGCAGTAGCAATTAACCTGTTGGGCCAAATTCCTCTTGGCTACTTCAACTTCTTTGTGGAGCTCTTTCCTCCTCTCAGATAATGCAGACACGTCTTTAGGAAGGGTTTCAATCTGGAAGTAAGAATTGAAAACAGGCATGTATGTTAGAACTTTACAATGCCGTGGAGTTGAGCCCATCATATGTTTTCTAAAATGGTGGCCAAATCTTAATTCTCCCTGTAATAAGAACTGGCCCTCCTAGGGAATATTTTTTTTTATATAAAAGTCAAAACACTAAAATTTGAAGGTCCACCAAAAATCTATCACTTGCCAGCTGCAAATATGCTTCATTCCCACTTAGATCAATCTTACCATTAACAGCTAGCACTCAATGAATATGGCTTGAGTGTTCAGTAAGGGTCTAAGATGTAAGTCATTGGGGGAGTCTGTGTGAAAGAGCTGAGAAGTCACCAAGGAAGAACTTAATTTCATCTTTTGAAACATAAGGCCTCCTGGACCGAGGCAGCCCAGGTAGTAGCCTGGGTCCCCATTTGGTTCTCTGTCACAGGTGGGCCCAGAGTTCGCTGCTCTTTCTGTTTCACTCCCAAGAGTTGTTCAAGTTTAAACACACAGGATTAGCCAAGTGGCTAAAGTCCTTGCCTTGAACAGCTGGGATCCCATATGGGTGCCAGTTCTAATTCTGGCAGCCCCACTTCCCATCCAGCTCCCCTGCCTGTGGCCTGGGAAAGCAGTGGAGGACGGCCCAAAGCTTTTGGGACCCTGCACCTGCGTGGAAGACCCAGAGGAAGCTCCAGGCTCCCGGCTTTGGATCAGCTCAGCTCTGGCCATTGTGGCGGCTTGGGGAATGAATCATCGAGTAGAAGATCTTTCTGTATCTCCTCCTCTTTGTATATCTGACTTTCCAATAAAAATAAATCTTTAGAAATTTACATAGAAACAAGGAGGGTTGCCAGTGTGTTCCCGTGTTACAACACCTCCATCTCTTCCCTTCTTTCCACAGTGACCACAGAGAGCTGGAGTGTCCCTTGCTATAGCTTTTCAAAGCTTAGTTCCTGAGGTCATAAAATTCCATAGTTTCCTGGAGCAGGCCAGCTTGAAAGGGAACAGGGCAGACTTCTCCACACGCATGGTTTCATCTCAGGGATTCACCTAGGAAACACTAACCCAGGGGATTCAGACCAGGAGACAGGGCCTCTGCCCTTTTAGTCACACTGAGCCATTGCATGCAAGCAGGTGCTGTGACAAAAACCCAACCCTGGGAACACAGAGGTAATAAGATGCCAACGTTTTGCTGAAGATGCGCCGTGAGCATCCTTCCAGAGGGAACACACTTCTAATACCATACAGAGTTAGTCAGGTGGCCTGACATTGGGTTCTGATTGTTCTTGACTAGCTGGAAGTCCGGGTTACCTTCCCATACGTAGATGATCCAATCTGGTCCTAAACTGTTAGGCTCTGCCATGCATCCATGCTGGCATTGGTTCTTTGCACTTGTGAAGTCAGTGATCCACTTCCAGAACGGGGGGTTCCAATCACTTCCCTAGGCCAGGCTGTTGCCCGACCCACTCAAGACCTTTCTCTAATCTTGGGCTAGCAAAAGAGATTGAGAAATGCTAGAGGACTATAGATTTGACAAGAGATCTTCCAAAAGTTCATGACAATGGTGTATTATGGAAAAAAACCGGCATGGCTTTAAAAAATTATTGTACGAAAATAAACTTATTTTTTAAAATTCCATTTTTCCTCCATGAACTTTTTTTCAGTACCCTTGTTTCATTTGTACATTTGAAAATTACTTCCTCGCTAACTTTCCTTCTTTCTCTACTGGCAAGGACAAGATCCTAAAGTATTTTATGTCAAAGGACAGCAGTGAACAGTCAGCTAAACGGCTTACCGCACACCCACCTCCAACAGAAGTCTTTGATGCAAGGCTTGAGTTTGAGTGAGGGCATCCCAGGAGACTTTCAATAGCAGCTCCATCTTC